AGTTCAGAATGCTCTTTGTAGGTGAACTATAAATCCCAGCAACTATAACTCCCAAATGACAAAACCAATGCACCCCAACCCCACCAGTATTCAAATATTTACATGACGATTCGTAACAGTAGCAAAACTACAGTTATGAAGTAACAACAAAAATAATGTTATGATGGGGAGTCGCCACAACATGAGGAACGGTCTTAAGGGGTCGTGGCATTAGGAAGGTTGAGAACCACTAATATAGATAGATAGATGATTGTAGGCGAAACATGCCCAGCTCTTTAAGCCACTCCTCATGGGACTTGTTCTCCAGACCCTGGATCCTTTGAGCTGCCCTCTTCCTCTGGGCACAGTATTCCAGCTTGTCAACCTCTCTCTTCAATGGTGGTGCCCAGAATGGGACACAGTGTTCCAGTCTTTGTCCAAATGCACAAGCAAGGCGAAACATGCCCCGCTCTTTAAGCCGCTCCTCATGGGACTTGTTCTCCAGACCCTGGACCCTTTGAGCTGCCCTCTTCCTCTGGGCACAGTATTCCAGCTTGTCAACCTCTCTCTTCAATGGTGGTGCCCAGAATGGGACACAGTGTTCCAGTCTTTGTCCAAATGCACAAGCAAGGCGAAACATGCCCCGCTCTTTAAGCAGCTCCTCGTGGGACTTGTTCTCCAGACCCTGGATCCTTTGAGCTGCCCTCTTCCTCTGGGCACAGTATTCCAGCTTGTCAACCTCTCTCTTCAATGGTGGTGCCCAGAATGGGACACAGTGTTCCAGTCTTTGTCCAAATGCACAAGCAAGGCGAAACATGCCCCGCTCTTTAAGCCGCTCCTCGTGGGGCTTGTTCTCCAGACCCTGGACCCTTTGAGCTGCCCTCTTCCTCTGGGCACAGTATTCCAGCTTGTCAACCTCTCTCTTCAATGGTGGTGCCCAGAATGGGACACAGTGTTCCAGTCTTTGTCCAAATGCACAAGCAAGGCGAAACATGCCCCGCTCTTTAAGCCGCTCCTCGTGGGGCTTGTTCTCCAGACCCTGGGCCCTTTGAGCTGCCCTCTTCCTCTGGGCACAGTATTCCAGCTTGTCAACCTCTCTCTTCAATGGTGGTGCCCAGAATGGGACACAGTGTTCCAGTCTTTGTCCAAATGCACAAGCAAGGCGAAACATGCCCCGCTCTTTAAGCAGCTCCTCATGGGACTTGTTCTCCAGACCCTGGACCCTTTGAGCTGCCCTCTTCCTCTGGGCACAGTATTCCAGCTTGTCAACCTCTCTCTTCAATGGTGGTGCCCAGAATGGGACACAGTGTTCCAGTCTTTGTCCAAATGCACAAGCAAGGCGAAACATGCCCCGCTCTTTAAGCCGCTCCTCGTGGGGCTTGTTCTCCAGACCCTGGGCCCTTTGAGCTGCCCTCTTCCTCTGGGCACAGTATTCCAGCTTGTCAACCTCTCTCTTCAATGGTGGTGCCCAGAATGGGACACAGTGTTCCAGTCTTTGTCCAAATGCACAAGCAAGGCGAAACATGCCCCGCTCTTTAAGCCGCTCCTCGTGGGGCTTGTTCTCCAGACCCTGGGCCCTTTGAGCTGCCCTCTTCCTCTGGGCACAGTATTCCAGCTTGTCAACCTCTCTCTTCAATGGTGGTGCCCAGAATGGGACACAGTGTTCCAGTCTTTGTCCAAATGCACAAGCAAGGCGAAACATGCCCCGCTCTTTAAGCCGCTCCTCGTGGGACTTGTTCTCCAGACCCTGGACCCTTTGAGCTGCCCTCTTCCTCTGGGCACAGTATTCCAGCTTGTCAACCTCTCTCTTCAATGGTGGTGCCCAGAATGGGACACAGTGTGATTCCAGTCTCTGTCCCAAGGCACCCCTCCAAGCTGTGTTCTAGGGGGGCAGAGGCCAGGGCCACTTCCTTTTGCAGACACCTGCAAGGTGGCCCAGCTTGGGAGAGGTGCCCAGAGGCCACCCAACCCTCTCCCTGGTTGTATAGCCTTGAGCCTGGGCAGGTCAAGTGGAGTCCAACTGCATGCCTTTTGCGGTGCAGACGCACCCAAAGCAAATTGCCAGGAGGAGGGAGAGAAGAAGGCGAAGGGTGAGGGTGCTCACCAATGCTTCCTCTTCATCTTGGAAAGAAGTGACGAGTGGAGTGCCATCAGCAGGGTTCCGTCCTGGGCCCGGTCCTGTTCAACATCTTTATTAATGACTTAGATGAAGGGCTAGAAGGCAGGATCATCAAGTTTGCAGACGACACCAAATTGGGAGGGAGAGCCAATACTCCAGAGGACAGGAGCAGGATTCAAAATGATCTTAACAGACTAGAGAGACGATGGGCCAAAACTAACAAAGTGAAGTTCAACAGGGACAAATGTAAGAGACTCCACTTTGGCAGGAAAAACAAAATGCAAAGATATAGAATGGGGGAGGCCTGGTTCGAGAGCAGTACGTGTGAAAAGATCTTGGAGTCCTCGTGGACAGGAAGGTGAACATGAGCCAGGAATGTGATGTGGCGGCAAAAAAAGCCAATGGGATTTTGGCCTGCATCAATAGGAGCCTAGTGTCTAGATCTAGGGAAGTCATGCTCCCCATGCTCTATTCCGCTTTGGTTAGACCACACCTGGAATATTGTGTCCAATTCTGGGCACCACAATTCAAGAGAGATATTGACTCTAAGCTGGAATGTGTCCAGAGGAGGGCGACTAAAATGATCAAGGGTCTGGAGAACAAGCCCTATGAGGAGCGGCTTAAGGAGCTGGGCATGTTTAGCCTGAAGAAGAGAAGGCTGAGAGGAGACATGATGAGGGCCATGTATAAATATGTGAGAGGAAGCCACAGGGAGGAGGAGGGAGCAAGCTTCCTTCCTGCTTCCTTGGAGACTAGGACGCAAGGGAACAATGGCTTCAAACTACAAGAGAAGAGATTCCATCTGAACATTAGGAAGAACTTCCTGACTGTGAGAGCCGTTCAGCAGTGGAACTCTCTGCCCCGGAGTGTGGTGGAGGCTCCTTCTTTGGAAGCTTTTAAACAGAGGCTGGTCATCTGTCAGGGGTGATTTGAATGCAATATTCCTGCTTCTTGGCAGGGGGTTGGACTGGATGGCCCATGAGGTCTCTTTCAACTCTAGGATTCTAGGCTTTGTGGTGTTGGAGGAAAGTGCTGAGAGTGCCTTGGACTGCGAGAAGATCCAACCAGTCCATCCTCCAGGAAATAAAGCCCGACTGCTCACTGGAGGGAAAGATAATAGAGACAAAGTTGAAGTACTTTGGCCACATCATGAGGAGACAGGAAAGCCTAGAGAAGACAATTATGCTGGGGAAAGTGGAAGGCAAAAGGAAGAGGGGCCGACCAAGGGCAAGATGGATGGATGGCATCCTTGAAGTGACTGGACTGACCTTGAAGGAGCTGGGGGTGGTAACGGCCGACAGGGAGCTCTGGCGTGGGCTGGTCCATGAGGTCACGAAGAGTGGAGACGACTGGGTTGCAGCTGGGTGTTACTGGATTTAAGGAGCTAACCTTGAGACTGATCTTTGGGAGAAAAGTATCTGTTGTATTTTGGTGGTGGATGCTGCTGGTTTTCCCCCCAGGTCTGTTGGATTTTTCGGTATCCTGACCTGTCTCCTGTAATCTTGGAATCCTGGAACCTTTGGACTGGCTTTGGACTGCGGTATAGACTCTTGATCCCTGGACTTTGTTTATTGAACCCTCGTCATTTGACCACTGGACTGGACCCTTTTGACTACAAAGTTATCTTTGCTATCAGTTTTTGTTTATTCTGTGCCTGAGTGCTATCTTTGTGTTTTATATTTTGGACTATAAAAACAGCCAGCAAGTAAGTAAGTGCTGTTTTAATGAAACCGTTTGATAAAACTGGGAGTTTGATTCATCTCTACCTAAATAAGGCAGAGCCCTGGCAAGGTGACACCACCCAACCCTCTCCCTGGTTGTGTTGCCTTGAGCCTGGGCAGCTCAAGCGGAGTCCAAATGCATTCCATTTGCAGTGCAGACACACCCAAAGCTAATTCCTAGGAGGGGGAGAGAAGACGAAGGGGCGCCCCTTCGCAAGGGAGTGGGGGGCTGCCACTGGGGACCCTTCCCCTCCTCCGTGCCCCCTCCTCCTCTTGGGTTCGTTGGCAAGGGGGGGGGGGCCGGGAGGGGGGAGAGAAAGGTGAAGCACCCCTCCTCCCTCAAATGCCAGCTGTAAAGGGCGGAAGACCCCTCCCCCAAATGCCAGCCCCCCCCGGGGCGGGGCCAGGGGAGGGAAAGGAATGAGGCCCCACCCTCTCTATGGGGGGAGGAGGAGGAGGGCTGCGGGGGCTGTAGTCTTTCCCCCGCCCTCAACAAAGGGCTCCAGGAGGGCGGGAGACCCCCTCCCCTCCCCTCCCCTCCAAGCCCAGAAAGGAGGCCAAGCTCGGAAGGAGCCCCCCCCCCCCCTTTGAAGGCCTGCAGCATCGCCCTTTCCTGGGGTCCTGACGAAGGAGACGCCCCCTCCCTCCCTCCCCAGGTAGGCATCCCCCTTGCCCACCCCCCTTTTGCAGACCCAGGGCCGGGAACAAGGCTGAAGGACTGGATATTGGGGGGAGGGAAAGAGGGGGGGGGCTGTAAACAATCGCCAAAACACCCCCCCCCCCCCAATTCCTTGGAGGATTCCCTTCCCCCCCCCCCCCCCAAAGGATCAAGTCCTCTCCCATTCTTATCTCCCTAGAGGGAGAGAGAGCTCCTCTGGGCATGTGCAGAGAGCAGGGTCTTCACCACCAGGGATTTCACACCCCTCGCCCAATGCTGTCACGCTGTGAGCCGCACTGTGGAGTTGTACCGCTTTGATCCCGCTTGACTCTGCCACCAGGTGCATCTCTAGAACAAGCATGGGCCAACTTGGGGCCCCCTCCATCCAGGTGTTTTGGACTGCAACTCCCACCATTCCTAACAGCCTTGGGTTGGACTGGATGATGGCCCACCAGGTCTCTTCCAACTCTGTGATTCTGTGATTCTATGACTTCTCTCCATCCCTCTTCATCCTCCTCCTCCTCCTTCTGAGGGGGGTCCCAGGTGGAGACCTCCCACTCCCAGCTCTGGCTGCCCTGACCTATCCTGCCAGGTAAGCTTTGGGCCCCTTTGCCATCTCCCGCTTTGACTGCATTGGGGGCTCTTCTAGATGGTCTCTAGGCTCCCCTTGGGCTATATGATTCTGTGCAAACACAGGGTCACAGTGGAGGGTGCCCTCCAGCAATGTGAGTGTGACACATGAGCCTGGGATTGTGAAGTGGACAATGTTCCCTGAGTCCCTTCAGGGAGAGAGGGCGCATGAGGAATAAAGTATTATTATTTGATACATAACAAGATGAGTCCACAGCTGGCTGTTGTATTGGATCACACGCCAGACCCTTCCCTGTGTGATGTATTGATGAATAATGCATGCAGATCCAAGTCAGGTGGCCTTTTGCAGCTGGCAGGTGGTGATTTTGTCAGCACTGATTGCGTTTAAGTGCAGGCCAAGGTCTTTAGGTACTGCACCCAGTGTGCCAGTCACCACTGGAACCTCCTGGAATGGCCATTATTATTATTATTATTATTATTATTATTATTATTATTATTATTATTATTATTATTATTAGAAACACAACAAGATGAGTCCACAGCAGACACTCTCCTGGCTGTTGTATTGGATTATTATTATTATTATTATTATTATTATTATTATTATTATTATTAGAAACACAACAAGATGAGTCCACAGTGGACACTCTCCTGGCTGTTGTATTGGATTATTATTATTATTATTATTATTATTATTATTATTATTATTAGAAACACAACAAGATGAGTCCACAGTGGACACTCTCCTGGCTGTTGTATTGGATTATTATTATTATTATTATTATTATTATTATTATAAACACAACAAGATGAGTCCACAGTGGACACTCTCCTGGCTGTTGTATTGGATTATTATTATTATTATTATTATTATTAGAAACACAACAAGATGAGTCCACAGTGGACACTCTCCTGGCTGTTGTATTGGATTATTATTATTATTATTATTATTATTATTAGAAACACAACAAGATGAGTCCACAGTGGACACTCTCCTGGCTGTTGTATTGGATTATTATTATTATTATTATTATTATTATTATTATTATAAACACAACAAGATGAGTCCATAGCTGACACTCTCCTGGCTGCTGTATTGTATGATGATGATGATGATGATTATTATTAGAAACACAACAAGATGAGTCCACAGCAGACACTCTCCTGGCTGTTGTATTGGATTATTATTATTATTATTATTATTATTATTATTATTATTAGAAACACAACAAGATGAGTCCACAGCAGACACTCTCCTGGCTGTTGTATTGGATTATTATTATTATTATTATTATTATTATTATTATTATTATAAACACAACAAGATGAGTCCACAGTGGACACTCTCCTGGCTGTTGTATTGGATTATTATTATTATTATTATTATTATTATTATTATTATAAACACAACAAGATGAGTCCACAGTGGACACTCTCCTGGCTGTTGTATTGGATTATTTATTATTATTATTATTATTAGAAACACAACAAGATGAGTCCACAGTGGACACTCTCCTGGCTGTTGTATTGGATTATTATTATTATTATTATTATTATTATATTATTATTATTAGAAACACAACAAGATGAGTCCACAGCAGACACTCTCCTGGCTGTTGTATTGGATTATTATTATTATTATTATTATTATTATTATTATTATTATAAACACAACAAGATGAGTCCACAGTGGACACTCTCCTGGCTGTTGTATTGGATTATTATTATTATTATTATTATTATTATTATTATTATTAGAAACACAACAAGATGAGTCCACAGTGGACACTCTCCTGGCTGTTGTATTGGATTATTATTATTATTATTATTATTATTATTATTATTAGAAACACAACAAGATGAGTCCACAGTGGACACTCTCCTGGCTGTTGTATTGGATTATTATTATTATTATTATTATTATTTGAAACACAACAAGATGAGTCTACAGCAGACAAGATCACTCTCCTGGCTGTTGTTGTTGTTGTTGTTATTATTATTATTTGAAACACAACAAGAAGAGTCCACAGCAGACGCTCTATATGGTGTATTATTATTATTATTTATTATTATTATTATTATTATTATTATAGAAACACAACAAGATGAGTCCACAGCAGACACTCTCCTGGCTGTTGTATTGGATTATTATTATTATTATTATTATTATTATTATTATTAGAAACACCACAAGATGAGTCCACAGTGGACACTCTCCTGGCTGTTGTATTGGATTATTATTATTATTATTATTATTATTATTATTATTATTATTATTATAAACACAACAAGATGAGTCCACAGTGGACACTCTCCTGGCTGTTGTATTGGATTATTATTATTATTATTATTAGAAACACAACAAGATGAGTCCACAGTGGACACTCTCCTGGCTGTTGTATTGGATTATTATTATTATTATTATTATTATTAGAAACACAACAAGATGAGTCCACAGTGGACACTCTCCTGGCTGTTGTATTGGATTATTATTATTATTATTATTATTATTATTATTTGAAACACCACAAGATGAGTCCACAGCAGACACTCTCCTGGCTGTTGTATTGGATTATTATTATTATTATTATTATTATTATTATTTGAAACACAGCAAGATGAGTCCACAGCAGACACTCTCCTGGCTGTTGTATTGGATTATTATTATTATTATTATTATTATTATTATTATTATTATTATTGAAACACCACAAGATGAGTCCACAGCAGACACTCTCCTGGCTGTTGTATTGGATTATTATTATTATTATTATTATTATTATTATTATTATTATTAGAAACACAACAAGATGAGTCCACAGTGGACACTCTCCTGGCTGTTGTATTGGATTATTATTATTATTATTATTATTATTATTATTATTATTATAAACACAACAAGATGAGTCCACAGCTGCCCAAGCATCTAGGACTGTGGATTATTATTATTATTATTATTATTATTATTATTATGAAACACAACAAGATGAGTCCACAGTGGACACTCTCCTGGCTGTTGTATTGGATTATTATTATTATTATTATTATTATTATTATTTGAAACACCACAAGATGAGTCCACAGCAGACACTCTCCTGGCTGTTGTATTGGATTATTATTATTATTATTATTATTATTATTATTATTATTATTTGAAACACACAAGATGAGTCCACAGCAGACACTCTGCTGGCTGTTGTATTGGATCACATGTTGGACATTTCCCAAGTGTCTAGGATTGTGGAATGTTTGGAAAAGTTAATTATTGTACTTGTATTATTATTATTATTATTATTATTATTATTATTATTAGAAACACAACAAGATGAGTCCACAGTGGACACTCTCCTGGCTGTTGTATTGGATTATTATTATTATTATTATTATTATTATTATTATTATTATTTGAAACACCACAAGATGAGTCCACAGCAGACACTCTCCTGGCTGTTGTATTGGATTATTATTATTATTATTATTATTGTTATTATTATTTGAAACACCACAAGATGAGTCCACAGCGGACACTCTCCTGGCTGTTGTATTGGATTATTATTATTATTATTATTATTATTATTATTTTTGAAACACACAAGATGAGTCCACAGCGGACACTCTCCTGCTGTTGTATTGATTATTATTATTATTATTATTATGGTTTCATCAGCTTCCTTGCACAGTCTGCATTTGGGGTCATCAGCTGATTTTTTTCAATCCTGGCCTTTATTATTATTATTATTATTATTATTATTATTATTATTATTATTTGAAACACCACAAGATGAGTCCACAGCGGACACTCTCCTGGCTGTTGTATTGGATTATTATTATTATTATTATTATTATTATTATTATTATTATTATTTGAAACACCACAAGATGAGTCCACAGCGGACACTCTCCTGGCTGTTGTATTGGATTATTATTATTATTATTATTATTATTATTATTTGAAACACCACAAGATGAGTCCACAGCGGACACTCTCCTGGCTGTTGTATTGGATTATTATTATTATTATTATTATTATTATTATTATTTGAAACACCACAAGATGAGTCCACAGCGGACACTCTCCTGGCTGTTGTATTGGATTATTATTATTATTATTATTATTATTATTATTATTATTATTAGAAACACAACAAGATGAGTCAACAGCAAACAGGATCACTATGCAGGCTGTTGTATTGGATTATTATTATTATTATTATTATTATTATTATTATTATTATTATTACACTAAACACAGTATGTCACAACAAATGAGATATATATGCTGGATTTTGTTTTATTATTATTATTATTGAAACACAACAAGATGAGTCCACAGCGGACACTCTCCTGGCTGTTGTATTGGATTATTATTATTATTATTATTATTATTATTATTATTATTTGAAACACCACAAGATGAGTCCACAGCGGACACTCTCCTGGCTGTTGTATTGGATTATTATTGTTATTATTATTATTATTATTATTATTATTATTAGAAACACAACAAGATGAGTCCACAGTGGACACTCTCCTGGCTGTTGTATTGGATTATTATTATTATTATTATTATTATTATTATTATTATTATTTGAAACACAACAAGATGAGTCCACAGTGGACACTCTCCTGGCTGTTGTATTGGATTATTATTATTATTATTATTATTATTATTATTATTATTTGAAACACAACAAGATGAGTCCACAGCAGACACTCTCCTGGCTGTTGTATTGGATTATTATTATTATTATTATTATTATTATTATTATTATGAAACACAACAAGATGAGTCCACAGTGGACACTCTCCTGGCTGTTGTATTGGATTATTATTATTATTATTATTATTATTATTATTATTATTATTTGAAACACCACAAGATGAGTCCACAGCGGACACTCTCCTGGCTGTTGTATTGGATTATTATTATTATTATTATTATTATTATTATTATTATTATTTGAAACACCACAAGATGAGTCCACAGCGGACACTCTCCTG